CATTGATGTATGGTTTGTTAGGATAGGACAATATTTGGCCGAGATACAAATAATTTGAAAATCTAAATATTGAGAAAACTGCCTTTAAAGTTGTCCAAACAATGTCCTTAGCAATGCATATTACTAATTAAGTTTTAATATATTTACAGTAGGAAATTTACAAAATATCTTCATGGAACATGATCTTTACTTAATATCCTAATGATTTTTGGCATAAAAGAAAAATCGATAATTTTGACCCATACAATGTATTGTTGGCTATAACTGCTACAAATATACCCGTGCTACTTAGGAGTGGTTTTGTGGTACAGGGTCATATATATATATATACACACACACAACTCTGCACCTTTGCCAGCAGTAAGACGAGTTAAACAGCTCTCACACAATTACAATTCCCTTAGGCCAGATGCACCCATTTATCAGTGAGAAGAGACTCGAGCACCTCTTTCAGGTTTGCAGGACAAACCGGTTATTCAAGTTTTCCTCCAAGAGCTCAAATCAATCAATATACAAAACTGGATGTGGCTGGAACAAGTTAGCAGTGATAGCTGCACAATAACTCAAACCTTTCATTCACCAAAACAGTTCTTAATTGTTCAAAATGTGTGATTTATTTGACAACCATTAACTGTTTATCTTTCATAAGAAATATTTGTTCAACACGACTCCACATAACATAAGACAAATCTGAGGCCAGACAGCTGTTTGCTCAATCCTGTCTCAGCAATGCATGAGATCTAAACACCACAATATAAATGAACAGTCTTAATTCTGAGATTGATGTCAGAGTCCACAGACTCGTTGTTCCTGTGAGAAACACAGCCTTTGCCAACCACCATCACCTTTAACAAGCCATGTTATTGGATATAATCACAGTTTAACACGACGGTGACAAATTCATCTTGATCTTCATGATCTTTGCACAAACCACAGTGACAAAGAAATGACAAATGGTCTAGACACAGAAATATTTTGCAGGTGGCACAAGTAAAATAACTGATTTTGTTCATTTCGCAATCAGCTTCCTGATATCAATAACTAATGATGGGAGAGATATCAGAATCTCTCTGAGGGCAACACTGCTAATACAGCAGCTGAATGAGAGCTGTGAATCCAATCGGAGCATAGCCTTCCAAAATGCACTTGTGTGGATTTTTACAGCCAGGTTTCATTTAATAATTAAATATTTAGGGAAAAAATGGAAATATTGCATTACAGTATATATACAGGCAGAAGAGACCATTTGGTAATATATTAAGTCATATTTAAGTCATTTTCATGTTTGCAGGGCATGAATGATCCTAAGATTCAGAATGATTCCATTTAGAATACCTTAAGTAATAGTAATCCAGTAACTCTGCATTTTTGTGTTTTAACACTGGTTTCTTAAAGCAAGATCGAGGCAGATAAGCACAAAAAACAGGAATGACAATCCAAACGAATTCAAACAACTGATGGATGGCTGTTGACGTAATACACTATGTGGTGATTTGGAAGACTTTGGAGTCTTCATTTAATGTGGGATCCTCTGGCATTCTAACACCAGTTTGCTTGGTCCCTTTAATGGCATCATTTCCCTCCAAGCACAACACAAAAAGCAGCACAAACATATCCAGAGGTTTTCTCATAAGACACACACTCCCACACATACGGAGGAGCCTCACACACATCCACACAGACCCAACATCCTCACTTCTCTCTCCAACTCATTCATGACCGATACACGATATATGAATTCAACAACCCAGCAGTCACTGGTGCTCTGGCTTTGTACACTTTATATCACATAATATATTTATATATTCCATGTAAATAAAATTTATTAAATAGGCTTGGGGGCAAATACATCGGAGAGAATGCTGTAAACGTTAAAGCAGCCCGTGGTTTAGTTCATCAATGGCTTCGTCTCCCACCTTTGGAGCCCGATCACAGTCAGGGAACCCAAAGGAGAACATTCCGGATCGGAATGGTTCAGCATTCCCTTTGCCCTGCTTTCCAGCTTTCTCACATGCAGATCTCCTGCTTTTCCTGTCAACATGGCACTTAAGGACTATAATGCAGCAAATGTGAGCTAGCAGGGAGGGATGAGCTCTTTTCCGTTGATGGACGTGGAACCTCGTGGCCTTCATACCATGAACTCGTTGCTGCCGTACACCACCACCTGCTGGGGGGGCAAGTCTGGATCTCTCTTCTGCCCTCCGCCCATCGGAGGGTCACGGTGCCTCTGAGGTGAGTTCTTGGCACCCTGCAGGCGCTGTTTGCCTTTTTCTGGGTTGAAGGTGCCGCGGCTGGTGAACTGCGGTCTCTCCTCTCCATCATGCTCGGGCTGGTCCAGGCTGTCAGGCGGGCTGGATAGATATAATCGTGTCGAAGGTGATTTGGAGCGCAAACGTAATTTATGGGTTTGTGCAGGTGGTTGCATATAGGAAGACGACACAGAGGAGACGGTAGAACTGGAGTCTATGGAGTCCAGGGATTCAGGCTGCTTTCGCAGAACCCTCCTGCTCTTCCCCTCTGACTTCTTGGGCCTCGCGGCGGCCAGCGCTGGGCCTCGCTCTGTTTAGAGACAAAGAGAACAGCAATGGGAGGTGCGCTGGAAAATCATTAAGCACCGATGCTGGGGAGTAAAGTACTTGAAGTTCTGACAGTACTATCTTAGTTTTGTTTTCCACTAGTGTGACAGCAGGCCACTGACATTTAAGCTAGAGTAGCTTTTCCGGTTTTAAAGTGACAAAACACTGCATTGCTGGTTTTTATGTCCTTGTTTGGCACACAGCTTCACACAGTCGAGTAAAACACATTCTTCTAAAATACTCTCTTATGTATAGTATTGGATGTCTGATTCACTTGAAATGAATCTGTTTGTTCAGTTGATTCAGTAAATAAAAAAAAAAATTAATTTAAAAATAAATTACAGTAGCTTTTTTTCCTGTAGCTACAGTACTTTTTTTACTTGTCTGAACTATTTTGAAACCCACATGAAATCTAAATGTTCAAGTTCAGGTTCATTTATTTATAAAGCACATTTAAAAACAGCCACAAGACTGACCAAAGTGCTGTACATAAAAATCAAACCATAGAACAGAAATAATAAAACATGAATTTAAAGACCAAAAGGAATGACAGATAAACATTCTGAAGACAGAGTAATAATCAAGAGCATAATACAATGTAATGAGAATGGGATATTAGTAGGCCAGATCGAACAAGTGTGTTTTTAAAAGTGACTTGAAAGTGGATAGGAATGGATTTTCTTTAAAGGATTAATTCAATCAAAAATAAAAACTGTCATGTTGTTCAAAACCCATTTACCATATTTGATATGCTCTCTTTGATAGCGCGTTGATCAGTGTTTATATGTAAATAAACACCTAAATTATGTGTGATATAAAGCAACTGTGTCTCATAAGAAGACTTGGATTAAAACACTGGATTAAATATGAATTACTTTTTAATGTTTTCATGTGAAAATGCAGGGCATTTGTGACATTAAATGGATGAGCAAACATTATGAGAGAATACTAAAAATATCTTCAAAACACAAACTAAGATGAACAAAAGTTTTCTGGGTTTGGAACGTAAATGATGACAATTTGATTTTTTGGGTGAACTTCATTAATGATTGTTCATTACTTCAGGTTTAGTTTTAGAACAATTTATCATTGCACGTTAACTCCCAAAACAAACAAACACAAACAAAAAATTTTTGTTTTTGTTGTAAACACTTTCTCTTCCTCTGTCTGAAATGGCTCCACTGACATCAATCGCTGGGCTGCACGAGTTATTGGATAATATAACCAAAAGCAAACACAGCTATTTATGTATTGTACTGATCTTTTTCATCATCCAATTAATTGCAAAATCAAACCTACATCTATTTTTGTTGCGTTTCCTGTTGTACTCAGAAATGCATTGTAAAAGTAAAATGGAAAATCAGATTACGTGGATTAAAAAGCAGCATGTAGTTTGAAAACAATGTATTCAAATAGCTTCACATTTAATAGGAACTTTCAGTAGTGACTCACCAAAGAAGTCCGAAGTGGCTCCCTCAGAGTCCACATTCAGGTTTTCAGAGCTGTCTGCGGTGCCTATAGAGGCCTCTGACTCCAGAGTTTCATCATCAGATGCCCGCGGCTCCAAAGCAAGCATCTCAAACGTCAACTCCTCCCTATGAGGTGAAGATCAAACAAATCTCAGTACAAACCAGAATAACTGTGTACTTCTACATAATTTTAAAAAACAGCATTTTTGATAATTAATTCGGGGTAAATTTGTCTCAGCAGTATCATCAAACACTATATGGTAAAATAACAGTTCATATTGCTTCCTTCTATTAATTACAACTGACATAGAAGGTCAAGTCCTTTGTACTTTGCGCCCTGGCTGTATACTGCACATTATATTTAGCAGGTCCTCTGGGGTATTTCGTACTACACAAGGAGCATAGTAGTACGATGATATGTAATTCCACCCTATTACACCCTTTGAGTATTAATATTAATAAGTTTAATTAATAAGTTAATGCAACCAATCCCAGAAGCTAAAACGGGTTCTCTTACTTCTCTTTCTGGAGACTCTCGATTTGTTCGGTCAGGACTTTCTCTTCCTGCTGCATGGCGACTTGTTGTTGCTCAGAGACTTCTGGATCTCTGCTGGCTTCCTCATCTCCGCTCTCCTGCATCACCTCTGGGGCGGTTGGAGACCGAGGACTCACTGGAGGAGACGGTGTGTGATACCTCACCCTGTGCACCTGGCCCTTACCCTGTCAGACAAAACAAAAAACACAAGACAGCACTATGAGTGGAGGAACTCGAGATATATCAGGCTTTGCTGTAAATACTGCTACAATCAAACAAAGCATTTTCTAGTCTCATTCAGGCTACAGAAACAAAACATGAATACAGGGGCCAAAATGAACATTTTAGTCCCAATGGCAAATGACTCATTAGGCTATTATTTTGTCATTTGATTCACTCATGTCAGTGATGGTCAGAAATGTATTCTTACACAGCAAATGAAACTGTGTGTGTGTGTGTGTATAAGAGTGTTTTTCTTTTTTTCATATAAAATGGACAAAAATAGCCATTAAGTGTTCATTTTGAACCCTGGATGGACAACACAGACTCACTTCAGCCCAAAGCTGTTACCTTTCTGAATGAGTTTGACTGCACATTACCAACCAGAGAAAGCAAAAAAAAAAAAAGTAAATTATTAGGCACATGCAGTGAATGCAACAGAAACATTTATTTTAAAAATTCCCAAGTCATACAGTGCAACATTATGAAAATGTAATTTAACAAGGTGATTTTGTTACCTGTCTAGATTAATAAAGTGCAAAGTGACTAACATCTAAGCTCTCGAGTTTCTTGCTCAAGCGTCTGTATGTCATGATCATGAAGACAGACGGACCACACAGTGCTGGGACGCGGCATACGTGATGACACTTACGGTAACAGCGAGTACATAAATACCTACCGCCGCAGCACTGCGGGTTATGCTCAAAAATCTAACAGCAATTATAACGGGTTTCTGGATTCGAGAGGAAAGGGGAGGGAGAGGAGAGACTGGGGTTAGTGTCAAGACAGAGCTAATGTGGATGATTTACTCAAGTAGGACATGATCTTGGAACAACATCCTTTTTGGTCTTGAAGCAATGTATCTGTCAGATTTTAGGGTTAAAGTGAAGATTATAATTGGGGTTGAAGCGTTATGCTTATCAACCTGTCATTTCCCTCTAATTTTAGTGGTGGGTTTGGTGTAAATTTGTGATTGTGAGATAAGAATGTTGTTCCAGGACCAACACTTATCCAACTTATTCAACTTCCTGGATCAACATCTTTTAATGCTGTAGGTTCAGGAACAATATTCCTGTCAAACAAACCATCCTAACTCTAATCATTAGCTACCTATAAAATAGGAGGGGAAATAAAAGGTTGATAAAAATGTTGTTTCAGGTCCAACAAGGATGTTGATCTAGAAATAGGTTTTGGACATCAGGGTTGCTGCAAACTTTTTACAATCATATTTAAGACTTTTTAAGACTTTTTTAAGACCCAAACAGAGAAAAAATAATACCATTTTTGTACAGCAAAACAAACAGCCATTAACAGTTTTGACATCTGGGTTATGTGGATATTTGTGAAAATATGAAATTCACTCTTAACTCTTACCATGGACCTGCGGATGAATGTTAGTCGGCTCTTGGCTTTGTTCTCCGCAAATTCCAGAGTGCTGATGTCCTTCAGTCTGGCCTTATATTTATTCATCTGCTCGCAAATGATCAGCTCGACACACCTTTGAAAGAAAAAAACAGAAGTATTTTAATCACTACCTGTAACTAAACTGAATTAGTCTTATCAAACTATATGAAGTAAGAGTTGCCCATTACGCTGTGGTTTTCCCAATGTCCTGAACGCTCCGCAAAGGGTCGGTAGTGTCAGGGCAGCGCAGGATGCAGGGAGCAAACACGATAGCCAGCGCATTAGCAGACATGCGGTTTGTTTCCTCCTGCAGGACAATCCTGTAAACAGCAGAAACAAGGCTCAGAACTGCACAAGGCTGTGTTCTAACTATGTATGACATTTCATAGTCAGGACATCCTTTCACTGTTCTCACTAAAGGCCAACATTCTGCACAAAAAGTGGAAATAATAGATGTTATTTTATTATTATTAGCAATAATCTGTGATTTTAGATCAATGAGATTTCTCTGTGGACATGACTACCTATAACGATATAGCAGAAACCACTCTGTAACTTTTTTTGTTGCAGTCATTCTTGCATACATTTTTTGGTGACATGGGAAGTTGCAGTTGCCATCTCACCTGACCAAATGGAAAATAAGGCGCTCCAGAGTGTTCAGATGAGTTCTGCTGAGCTGGTCGATTATAGAGTAAACCCCTCGAATTGCTTCTTTTTTGTCTTGAAGACCTGAAGAGACATTACCATCTATGTTCAAATATTAGTGTATGTCTCCATAAACGTCTAATTTATTTAAACACAGGGGGTCTAGAACAGTACTGCATCCGTAGACTGGCATATAAAATGTACAAAAAAAATGTAGTTTTAAATCTGCGTGTTACTATTATCATTTCATCTGTTCCAGATTTAGAATTTAAAACCTATAAAAAAATTAATATCAAAATTAATCAAAAATAATTACAAATCCAAGACATCAACACAACTTGACAACATCAATACAACCAGTACCAATTTCAATGCGTGTCTCTCACACACACACACACAAATACACAAATACACACACACAAAACTCCCAAATAATCAGGACAAGCAAAAAAAGACACCAAAACTATTTGCCATACTGAATGCTAATGCAATAAGTGTGATAGGTCATGCTTGACAGGGACATCTGCTTACCCATGGCCCGCAGGAATTCCTCATACAGTTCAAAGGTCATCAGAGGATTAGGCAAGTCACGTAACCACTGCTTGAAAACGCTGGCAATGACATTAATATTATAGTCGTCCAGATTCACGCCATTTACATCTGAGGGCAGAAAATAAAAGATTTCAGACTACAGATATAGATACAGTTACTATAGTAATACATCTACTAGATATAGTAGATATATTACTATAAATGGTTAGTAATGTATTGTGGACAAGATATCAGAATCTTGTGTTACAGTAAAAATTTTGAAACATCCTTAAAACAAGATAAATTTATTTGTGAGGTAAAACGGTGTAAGATATTAACATGTTTTCAGAGAACATACAATTTTGTTTATTATATATGTTATATAAGTAATATATACATATGTGCTTAATATAACTTAAGTTATATTATAAGTTTATTACTATACAGTACTCTATGACCTGAGCTGATGTGTCCAATAAAAACATCCAAAATGTGCAGAGCTGGAAAGGCTCCATAAACAGTTATTAAACAGTAAAGCACATTTCTCACTAATTTTAGTGTCTTGTAGCCATATATCATTAGGGCTTTTCACACTTGGAATAGTTAACCCTAGGTCATTCTAAACCCGGGGTAAATGGAATCCTGGGTTTTTTACGCTGCTCTTAATTTACCCAGGGTGAATAATTAATGCTGGGTATTCATAAGATGATGCTTCACACTGTACATTCCTAAACCCTGGGTTAACATTTTTATTTGCATATTTGCGGTGTCAATGTCATTAATTGGACGAACGCAGCACACAATCTGTTTACATAAAGAATCTAGCATTGTGCATCCTTATATATTGCAGACTATACTATCTTAAGTTTTTACTAAGTTTTTCTTGAAATAACTTTTTGATCTAGAAAGAATAAAACTATCTTCTCTCCAGTTCACGCCTTTTACCTTCATCATTTGACTTTTTTTTTTTTTTACACTCAAACAGTGAACCGACTAGGGATGTAACGATTAACCGCGAGCCGGTTGAAAATCAATTCAAATATGTGACGATTCAAATTGTTTGAGATGCTATACAAATCGAGATTCATTTAGAGGTAGGAGTTTATATGAAAGTATGTCTGAAGGGAACTTTAGAAAAGTTTAGATGGTATTTTTTCTTTTCATCTTGCATCTAGTTCATATGTGCAGCGCTTCTTTGTTTACAGCGGAAACGCTTTAAGCGCCACCTGCTGGCAGAGAGTGGTGTTATATTTCAATTTCACAAAGAAATGTGCAGCATTTTGTCCAAGCAAAAATAAAAGGACACAATTTATAATTTGTCTTAAATCTCATTTTGTTAAAATAAATCATGAATCGAATCGAATCGTGCAATCAAAATCGTGATTCGAATCGAATCGTGAGTTGAGTGAATCGTTACATCCCTAGAACCGACTGTTTATACAACACACTGTGTTTCCATAACTGTCCAAAACATGTGAATATGAGACACGTGATTTGTTGGTTGCTAAGCGTCTAGCCCTAGCACTGTAACACCATGTCATTTCACACTATCATTTAAAAACAAAAACATGTCATTTCACACTGCAAAAGCGCTGATAACCCTGCTCCTGAGCAAGATTTTACCTAGAACCCCGGGTAAAAAGTGATGCTAACCGCACTTGAGTGTGAAACATACCTTTACCCGGGTTAAAAGCGGGGCTAAGAACAATGATAACTCAGGATTAAGCGCAGTGTGAAAATCCCTATTTTTGTTCTCGTGTGTCATACCTGTGTCCAGACCCTGTTTCAGCTCCTTAATCTTATTGGTGGATCCAGACTTCCTGTATATCCCTTCTGTGTACAGGCCATGCATCTCAATGTAATTGATAAGTTTCTCGACTACTAAAGGCACCGCTCGCTCATCGTTGGTCAGACGGGACAATTCCACACCAAACTGCCTTGACGAAAGTTCAGGGTCATACTGCACATGGAAAGAAAGAAACATTCTTTATTACAGCCCAAATCACATGAACGCACTTGGCAGGAAAAAAAAAAATCCTTACCTTCTTGCTGCATTTGGTGGTCATCTTCTGACAGCACTTTCTGTGCCACGCATAGCGGCACACTACACAAGACACAGACATCTCATTCATTCTCATTTTCAACGGCAGTACATACGACACAGATATAAAAATTTTAAAAAAAGCACCGCCACCTAAAATAAACTCAATTCAAGTCAACATTCTTCTCTCACTGTAACATGGAGGAAAACATTCTGCTCTACAAAGCCAAACTGTTCTCTGTTCGAGCCGAGAGGCTATGGGCTTGTTGGTAAATAACCTGATTATGTTGAATTGAGTTCAGGGTCACTTTGATGTGGAGACTGTGGACATGAGACTCACGTTTGCAGACACACGCCTTGTCCATCATCCAGATGAGGGAGGAGCAGTACTCGCAGTAGGTGGGAATACTGTATTGAGTTGACTTGAATATGTGGCCGTTGTGTTCCTCCACCTAAAACAAACAAAGGCAGTGTGTCAGTTGATTTCCATGAAAAAACGGAACCGCTAATTCAGTTTACAAAACCTCTGACTGTGATTCCACTCACTATATCAGTATCCTTTTTCCTTCTTTTCTTGCGGTCTGGTTTGGGTGCCTGTGGGAGGAAAAAAGGGAAAAAAAATTGTTTTATAGAATATACTCTCTCTCTCTCTCTCTATATATATATATATATA